ACCCTCTCTCTCCCTCCCCTCTCACCTCACCTTTCTCTGTCCCCAGGTTCTCGTGATGTTGTGTCAGATTCTGCAGACTGAGGACGTCAATGCAGTCCAAGCTTGGCTCTGTTCCGCAGGGGAACGAGGTAAGCTTTTATACATTACAATAATACGATGGTGATTTTCTTGTGTCGATGAGGGCATAAATAAAAAGACAAAAAAGAAAGTAAAAAAAAAAAGAAGTTTTAACCAATCCGTTGTTTTCGCGCTGTGTAAAATTTATCCAGAGAAGGAGCATGGGATGTCACATGTACATAGCGCCTCCCAAAAGCTGTCTTACTTGTATCGATGGGGGGCATACATTAAGAACACATTTTAAAAAAAAGTTTTAACTAATCCGTTGTTTTTACGCTGTATTTCCCCAGAAAAGGAGCATGTGATGGGACTGGTACGTAGCGCCATCGCCGGTAGGGAAGAGTACTACAAGCAGTACCCTGCAGAGTTTATCCCCGACAACGGGAAGGCCAAGTTACCTCCCATCAGCCAGAAGCCTGGCTCGGCCAGTGGAGAAACTAACAGGTTCGTCTACGTCTGCTTGAGACATTTTAGTTTCACTTTTATTAAGAGTTTTACGGCACTTACAACACAAACGTCCGAAGATAAGTGATGTTACTAGAGAGTGACATACAAAGAAAAGAAGGACGAGAGATAAAGACGATAGATGTTTGATAGGAAAGTAGGAGCAAACTACCAACTGAACAACCACAAATCACCCACTGGGACTGGGATATTCTCTTGAGTGATTAAGGATATTTTTAAAGTAAAAGTTTAACGCACTTGCAACATAAATCAGGTTATAAATAAGTGCCGGAGATTAGAGGGGTGTTTCTAGAGAGTAACATAGCATACACCGAAAAGAATGGAGAGAGACAAGGGACAATTGAAATAGAATTCCAATAGGAATGAAATTGCAAACCACACCAGTGCACCTACCAACCAACCACGAAAATCTGCCGTAAGCTGACAAAACGCAATTTTTTTTCCTACACATAAACTTTTTGTCAGCCTGACCATTTAAAGATACATGCAGGGTTCTTCCGAAATTTGAATAGTAATTTATTCAAAAAACTAGTCACAGTTTCATTTGGATTTTTTTTTACACTCAAGTAAGGTAACTGATCAGGCTTTCAATTTAGCAAATTAAAAAAAAAATGGCGCTTAAACTAAAAAGAAAAAAAAAAGCGTTTGTCAGATTGCGTCGGGGGCCTAGTGGTAAGGCTACCGGACTCGTAATCGTGAGGTTGCGGGTTTGGGGGTTCGAGCCGCGGGCACGACGTTGTGTCCTTGGGAAAGGCATTTTAAACGAATTTTCCCCACTTCACCCAGGTGGGAATGGGTACCTAGCTATAGACAGTGAGAGATCTTGTCAGTTAATTGTTAGTTTTTGAACGCTTAACTAGCTGCTTGCACTGCATGCTTCCCGGGAAGCTGAGAATGTTTTTGAGTGTTCTATGGTCTGCTGGGGTAATACATGTACTATAGTGTAAATCCCATAGAGCTTGCTTTCGAGTTGGGACATGCGCTATACAAATACTGTTTATTAATATTATTATTATTATTATTATTGTTATTATTATTATATTATTATTATTATTATTATTATTATTATTATTATTATTATTATTATTATTATTATTATATTATTTTATTATTATCATTATTATTATTATGCATATTATTATAATTATTATTATCACTGCAGAAATGTATCTGTACTCCTCTCATCACCACCAGGCTGGTCCTTGATGAAGGCAACAACGGCGCCGGGGAGCCCGACAATAACGGCAGGTGGCAGAAGATGTGGGTGCCCCCGGTGGTGCCCATAGAGGAGAACGCCGCGGCCGAGGAAGGAGGAGAGCAGCAGGAGAAGACGGTGGTGGACGACTCCAATGGTAGGTCACGCTCAAGAGCTGCTGTCCCCGTGGTTTTATACACCCCGCATAATTTAGCAAAATTTGATCATTTTTGTGTGTGCAAAATTTCTGAATTATTTTCCTTTATCATTCTTTGTTAAAATTAACAGAATCGCACCATTTCACATTTTGGGGCTCAGTTTGCATAATTTCAGAATTTTTCTTGCTTAAAACGACAGGGACAGACAAAAACAGATTATATGTATGTATGTGTGTGTGTGTGTGTGTGTGTGTGTGTGTGTGTGTGTGTGTGTGTGTGT